TCTACACCTTTTGGACATGGCACACCCCTGTATCCTCAGCACTCGGGAGGCTGACGCAGGAGGATCACTGCCAGTTCCAGGTCAGCCTGGGCTACATAGTGAGTTCAAGGCCAGCCTGGGCTACATAGGGTATGTTTATGAATGGCCTGTGAGTATACACCCAGAGACTGAAACTGTGGGAAAGATCAGAGTTAATTCCATCTATGTACAGGCAGGCTGGAATTGGTGTGATATCCGTGAATAACTGGAGCGGAGGCTAAGCATATTAAGGGCTGGGGTTGGAGGGGGGTCATAGTCCCAAAAAATCTGGATCGGATGTTTGAGATCAAAACTTCATGGAAGGTCAGCACAGGTGTGCATATAAAGCTGGGTCTTCCAGCATTAGGGAGACTGCAGGTGCAGTGCTAAAGTTCTTTATGGGCATCAGTTCTGTTTTCTGAGGGCAGCATGGATTCCTGTTATTTGTAGACGGCACCCTGTTGCTTGGGAAGGTCTTTCTCTAGTCAGTCCTGCAGGGAGACCCTGCTTCAGAAAGACAAAACAAACAGAATGGTGGATTACTGTCACGTTAGTGCTGGATATACTTTAGCAAGGAATATTTGAGAGTGGCCTTGGACCTATGATTCAGGTCTGGTAGTGATGAAGAAGTTATATGCAGAGGTAAAAGAAGATAGTGATTCTTCACCAGTAGCTGAATCTTTGTCCCTAGATCCTAAACTAAAACTCCAGTGAGCTGGACCAGCAGGGTAGAGTCCCACTGCCCACAGCCGGAGGCCACAAATACCAACCCCCACAGCAAAGCCAGATAGCCTTCCTTCGTCGTGCTCCAATCACATCTGAATACCGAAACCTGCTGTGCCAGTGAGGTGAAGATGAAACCTAGCAGAGCTACAGAAGATTGTCTCTGGGCTGGGTCTGCGCCCAACCCCGCTGCAGCAGGCTCCCGGACTCCTGTCGCAGAGCAAGAATTTTCAGGACGCGCCGGAAAGCAAGATGAGTAGGATTTGCAGGATTAGACAAAGCAGAGCAAAAATATTTCTCATAGAGGAAAAGCAGGAAACAGTTTTTATTGGAAAGCAGAAGCCAAAGAGCCTCCTAGGGAGCCCAGAAGGGACTCTTTGTAATGGGAGCAGTGAGCTTAATATCACAATTTTATCTTAATATCTAGCGCCTTAGAACATGAAATAGAACAATTATTTTTGAATAAGCCTGTATGTTCTAATGGTTGAATCTCTATAGAATGCTAATAGGCAACAGTTACATAATTTCACAAAGAAAATTTAAAATCAAAACCATCCATAATATTATACCACGACAATCGTGATCACGTTTTTGTGGCATATTTTAACTTAATGTCGCTCTTTTAATCAGTGTTTTTTTTCTTTTCTTTTTTTTTTTTTTTCTGGTACTGGGAATTGAACTCAGGACCTTCTGCTTACCAGGAAGGCACTGTGCCACTGATCTATAATCCCTGGCCCTAATCAGTCATCTCTATTTAGTACATAAGAAGCTCTTACCGAACTCGTTGACTTTTAATGGGATGTCAGTGATACAATTTGTGACATTGCCTGGACCACTTTAAAGTCCAGGCATATCTAAGTATAGTGGTGTATATGTAGCATATATATCACATAAGTTCTTATTTCTGACTGATTACCTCATGTTGGCTTGACATGAACCTCTTATCACAATTAATTGGTGCATAAAAGGCAAATGTCTGAATGTGAAGTACAAGGTTTATCACCGTAAACCACCCCAGTTTCACATTTTAGAAGACGGCACTTATGGAAGGCAGGAATACATTTTAATACAGCATGAGATTAACACTGAATTGTCATACCTATGTGAAAAACCTTTGCTTCTTAATTTAATTATGTACCAATTGCATCTTGTGAGAAAATGGTGTTATGTTATTTCTAGAAAACGTAACCTTTTGCTGATGACCAATTTATTATTGGTGTCTCTCATAAGGCTATGGAGATTACTGGGGCTTACCATTAATGAACAAGGACTGGATAATTATCCAGGTAGCTGCTTCTTATTTATCAATTGAAGTCGTGTCCAATAGTCTCTCCACACCTCAAGGGATTTTTGTTTAATTATTTTAATAATTTTTGTTGACTTATGAAAACCCAATCACAACATTGAACACATTATTTCTGAACAAGAACAGACTGTCATGTCCCGGTTTTAGTATATGTGCTACCGAAGCAAGCACCAGACTCTCATGTCAATACATAAGCAATGATATAAATTACATTTACACAACCAATTTTAGCATCATTGTAACCAGCTGGCAACCCAAGCTGAAGCATCAGACAAATGCTTCAAAACTCCCAACATGGGGCCAGATATATAGCTCAGTGGTGCTGTGCCTGAGATCATGTGTTTGAGTCCCAACATGGGGCCAGATATATAGCTCAGTGGTGCTGTGCCTGAGATCATGTGTTTGAGTCCCAACACCAAAAAAAAAAAAAAAAAAAAGAAAAACAAAAAACCTGTAACAAAGCTTTCAAACACAAAAAGAAAGGAAAGAAAAAAATTGTTGAGCTCAAGCAAAAACAGCTGATAAACAGGTGTACAGCTTACACACTCAGAGTACACTCAAATATATCTTTTTTTCCAAATTATAATAACTCCTTTATAATTCTAGGTGTTTGTAATTATAAATAGACTAGTCAGAATTTTTTTGGTATGTTAGTGGAGATCTCTCACAAGAAAATTTGAAAGGAAGAAAATCTTTTATCTATAATTAATACATACTTTTATATTTTATTTTGTCTTAAGAATACTAGAAATTTTTGTATCCCTTTCTTTTACATAGTCTCTAAATCAGTTGTCTCCATACACTCTGTCACCTACTTAGACCTTTTTTTACCAGTTTTTGGTTCCCCATCTCTTGGGCATCCTGGGTCAATTTTTCTACTTGACCACAGGTCAGCTCTAGCCCCATCTTTGTTAGCTATGGAGCAGTCTCTGAGGCATCATTTCCACAGGATTGAGCATCAGCTTCCTAAGAGGTGGAATCTACTCCTCTGGATCTGGGTCCATGATACAGCCAAACAGCACACTCTGGCCCCCAGATAGGCTGTTTAGCATTCCTTGGAAAGACACAAGCATACCCTGTACCCTAAATGAATGGTGGGCTAGGTTCCTTCTATTGTCCAAAATGAAGATCCTTCCAAAGAACCCTTCCAAGCTTCTTTTTTGTTTCACCTGATTGAATTGTCTTTCTGCTGCTGTAGTCTCATCCCTAGTAGGATTTAAACAGTTAATAATATACAGTGCCGAGTGAAGTGCATTATGAGGTGTGAATTGTGTGGGGAAGGATTTCTCCTTTGTATTTGAATTTTGAGTGTACACTGAGCACATTCAACAATTCCTTTACCTTGAGGGCTATAAGGAATTCCCATGGTAAGGGAAATGTGAAAAGTTCTACAAAATGTCCGGAAGGTAGCACTCATATAACCTGGGCCACTCTCTATCTTAAGATAAATGCCCACAGGCTGCCAAGGGTGCTAAAGGCATTCAAGCAATGAGCAATGACATGTTTAGCCACTTCACCAGTGTGGGCAGAAGCAAAAATAAATCCTGAGGAAGCATCCACTGAAATGTGGATCCAGTGTAGCAAGTGAAACTCAGAATGTGACATCCATTTGCTAGATATGATTGGGGTGTAATCCTCAGAGATTAACCTCGTTAGAGAGTGAGGGAGAATATTACATATGAGGAACATTGTCTAGTGATGTGTTGATCCTTTTCTCAAGTGAAAAGGAACTGTTTGTGCAAGGCAGAAGCGCTGAACGGAAGGTGGCATGGGAGGCAGAAGCCTGTTGAATGGTGTCTGAGGGAGCAACAGTGACAGTAGTCAGCAGTCTGCCTACTGCAGCATTTCCCTCTGAGAGGCCCCGGCAATTGGAAACAGGAATGTAAATGACCTATAAAACAAAGGACGTGGCGTGACCCCATGGCAAATTGGAGAGTGTGAAATAAATGTGGTTAGTGTGGTTAGTGTGAACCGTGGCAGTTGCAGTGTGGCACATCACACGGCAAACAAGTGCTGTCTGAAAAGAGGCTAATTGGAGTGGATGACTGGTCTTGCAGGGCCCATGTGAAGGAAGAAAAACCTGTATTCTGTATTTGGGCACCCGGGGCTCCCCCTCACTGCTTCTGCCTCTGGCTGTGGCTCCCGTAACATTGCCTCGGGTTATGGGCAAGCTCCGCTGCTGGCAGTGGCGGCTTGTTGGCCTGACTGGAGATTGTTGCCCCTTGACCTCACCATTTGGCACTGTCGCTTCAGTGGCAGTGACCATTAGGGGGTCTGTGCCCGCTCTGCTCCTGGGGATGGGCTCCACCTCCAGGTCAGCTTTGCTGGTGCCCCCTTCCCCAGAGGATGCCGTAGTTGTTGCCTCTGTAGCCACAGCTGCCGTTTTTTCCCCTGGCTTTTCCCTCTGATTCGGGCTGTTGTGGCTCCCGAGACCTAGGACTGGAGTGCGGGGGGCCTTTCTCTGATCAGCCTGTGCCCCTCCCTCCCATGGCCCTGTGCTATGCTGAGCCCGCTGGGCAGGCAGTCTGATCTGCACACAAACCAAAAAAAATGTCCTTTCTACAATAAAGAATCCTGCAGACTTAAACATACTTTAACTATTTCTGTTTTGTTACCATAATAGAATGAGGATTTGTGTAGACATCTGTTGTTCTTGAAGACCTACGTCCCTCATGTTTAACACGATAAAGTCAATACGCTTCTCTCCCTTTTGTTTCTCGTGAATGTGTTTTGCTCGTTTGGCTCTAATGAGCCTGGTTTTTCTCTTTGGCTCTAGTGAGCCCCTTTTTCTCTTTGGCTTCTCTGGAGCTTATTTTTCTCTTTGGCTTCTGTGGAGCTTATCTTTCTCTTTGGCTTCTCTGGAGCCTGTTTAGTCTTTTTGTGTGTGCACAGCTAGAGGTCTCCTCTTACCTGCTATCTGATGCATTTTCTTGTTCCCTGGGTCCATGTTCAGGTGCCAAATACTGCATCCTGCCCACCCTTCAAAGTCCCCAGGGTGAGGATGGTGAGAAGATGGAGCCAAAAGGACAAGAGTCACAATACGGAAAACAGGCCAGCTGGAGCCCTCTCTCCTGGTGGGAAGGAAGGAAGAAGGAAGAGGAGGAGGAGAAGGAGGAAGAAGAAAGACACTCTTGATAGTGGTATGGATATCTTGTTCCCGGGCAAGAGAGTTTTGCCAATCTAGGAGGCCTTTGTTTGCTGAGCTTCCCAGTGCCTGGCCTTGGACATCAGTGCATCCTTCCCTGAAGCTTCCTGACTCCCTCTTTGGCCTGGCCTTTCCCTGGCTGCCTGTAACTCCCTTTGCTTGGACCCGGCTTGAAACCTCCACACATACACGAATTGCCAGGCTCCCACACCTTACAGTACTGTTCATTTGAGTCAGTTTTTGGCTTTTAATTACTTCAGTTGTGTCCTGGAAATTGCAGGCCTCTTACGAAGTTCAATTGTTAGTTATTTCCTGTGTCCTTTCTAGCTTTTATTTCTTCTGTCATTCCTCAGAAGGAGAAAATAATAAGAGAAAAATTATTCCCTGAATTTAGAGCTGTCCCCAGACCTTTGCACACCAGGGTAGGACATGGAGGTTGATTATATGAAGGGACAAAATGTGAGCAGATAATGAGAGGGTGGGCTGGGCATGGTGGCACACGCCTGTAATCCCAGC